AAGGAGGCATCTACCTAAATATTGAAGATAGAGTAAAAAAGGGAGAGAGAGAAAGCCAGAGAGATGTGTATAAAAAGAGATAGAGAAAAAAAAAGTATATGGAAAGAGGGAGAAAATCTAAAATAAGTAACAAAATTAGAGAGAAGGAATAAAATGAAAAGGAGTGTGATAAAGAGAGATGGTGAGAGAAAGAGAAAGGAAGGGAATGACAGAAGATAGAGTAAAAAGAAGAGGGAGTAAATCTAAAATAAAATAGAGTGGGGGATAAAATGAAAAAGTAAAAGAGATAGATAAAAACAGAGAGAGGAACAGCGAGAAAGAGATAGAGATAAAAATGAAAACAGGGTCAAAAAGAAATAGTAAGAGAGTGAGAGTAAGTAAGGAAGAGAGGTGGTGGCAGAAAGGGAATGATATGAAAGAGAGGGTGTGAGAAAGAAAGGAAGGGAGAGAGAAAACATGAGACAAAGAAAGAGAGAGAGAATGAAATGTGATATAGAATGTAGTAAATAAATAACTTTTATTATGCTCTCCAGAGAATAATCTTTATATAAATCAGAAATAACTTGACCCAAACGTGAATAATTATTTATCATTACTTAGAATGTAGACTTATGTATACTAGATTTTATAACTCTTTACATATAGCAGTATAGTATAGTATAGAGTATTAAAAATATTTCTCCAATTGGGATTGAAATATTTTTAGTAGTTTATGAAAGATATGTATCTATTAAACGGGATATACACACTTTTTTACAATTACTCTTTCTTCCTTCCTTGGAAAGGCGTGGAAAACCTTTTACAGCGATAGCGCAAAGTTTAGGCAACACTTCAAATACGCGGACAGACGGACAAACAGACAAAAAGCATTCTTTTTATTAGAAAACAAATATGGTAAATGTATATTTTATACTATTCTATATAGTATGTTTTTCATTGAAATTTTTCAGTGAACTTGATATAATTTATCACTGCTTAGACGCTAAGGCCTTGAGCTGTGACTTATCAAATCACAAACTGCAGGTACTTGAACATATTGCTTTCTTATTAGGTGAGTGTCATAATACAAAGCAAAAATAAATCCATTTATTAATGTATAATAACGGTATATTTTAATTCGCATTTACTTTCCATTTTGAAAGAATTTTATTTCAAATGGAATGTTTTAACAAATTTGCACCACTTTTGTTATTACTTTTTAATTAGGTGACTTTTCTAGTAAACAAGCGACATGTTCATATGTGAAAATATATGTATATATATACATATGTATACTGTAAATAACATTAAATGCCGAAAAGTATCTAAGAGCTGAGATATTTGCTTGTCGTCAGCATTAGATTAGCATTACTGAACCTTATCACGGCAGCTGGATACATTTTGAAATTTTTGTCTAATTCAATTGATATGATAAAATGTACATATACACAAGACAACAGCTAGATTGCTGTTGTTGCTATTGTTTAATCTTGTTGCCGGCTGCCTTAATTCAGCAAATGTTCTCAGTCTGCAAGCAAATATTTTTGTGCTTCTTTTTTCCATTAAACGATATATCTACATATGTATGTGTGTATGTAAATAGGTGTGTATGAATAAATATGGAAAAGTTTTATGGCATATGTGTCAATAAAAGATATATGAACCGATATACATATATGTATATCACGTTTGTGGAAGGGCGGTACAGATGCGAACGTTTTTTTTAGCTCATAATTAAAATTGAAATTAAAAAAGTATATAGTATTATATATATAACCATTTACTTAGAAACACATTGCATTTTGCAAATATCCACTAGTAAATATTAGTCTCAAATTTTTTGGTTTTTTTTCAATTTCTTATCAAAAGTTCGCGGCGCTTGCAACCTTGATAGTTCAAATGTGAGTTCAGCATTGCACAAGTGTGCTTTTTGTTAATATTTTTTTTGTGCAAAAGAGTTTAAAAATTTGAGAAATTTTTTCTACTGAGAGATTAAATAAATTTACACTAAAACTCTAAGCTACAACCAAAGCTATAATACCCTTAACAGGTGCATTTCTTATAGCATGAAAGGGTGTAACAAGATTTTTATCGGACAGTTTTTTATGGCAGCTATATGCTATAGCAGTACTTAAAAACTTATTAAAGCATTTGCTGTCAATGTCAAAACACAAATTACCAAACAATCTACAACTGCTTTGAGTTGCCAAATACTATAGTAATAAAATAACATATACATCTATAAATATTTATGTACATATGTATATGCATAAATATGTGTGAATGTATGTGTGTTAACTTTCGTTTTAAGAGTAGTGTGTTGTGGCGCCATTCGTCGTAGTACGCATGCACTCAGCGTATCTTAGTTTGACGAACAAATGCGAAGCGCAAAAATTTATAGCATGCGAGAAAAATAAACAGATATGAGCGCGCAACAACAAAGCAACTGATTTCATTCATAAAAACGAAATGTGGAGAAGTAAAAAAGCGGAAAATAGTAAATGTTGGAAGAAAATTGAAATGCTGCGTTGTGGCAATTGTTGTAAGCGAGCGTGCTTGAGCGAACATGTGTGTGAGAAAAGTTATATGAATATATATTTACATAAATATGTATACATGGAAATATTATAATACTAAATTACATATTATATAATATTTTGGAATATATTATAAAAAGTATAAAAGAAATAAAAGAAATATTTGTGAAATAATATAAAAAATTAGATTTAAAATATTATTAAAAAAAAGATCAATAATACAAAAACCAAAAGCAAAATAAAGTAAATTATATAAAATAATTAATAAAAAAAAATAATTAATTAATAAAAAATAATAATTAATTAAAAAAAAATAATAATTAATTAAAAAAATTAATATTAAAAAAATCGTATATCATTAAATGGATATAAAAATACCTTTAACCGAACAAAATCACGGTCAGTTTGTAAGGCAGTAAGACAGTCCAATATGAAGATTTTGTTCGAAGATGTGTCGCGAAGATATCTTCTCAAATAGAGGATTTTTCCATACAAGGATCTAAAATCTCCCTTTTACAACATATATTTCGATTTAGTTGTAGCAAAAATCGCAATAAAATACCGTTACTATGCGGAAATACCAATTGCATCTGCAACTAATTAGCAAAACCAGCTAAAATCTTAAGATATTTGGCAAAAACTTTAAAAAAGATAGGCGCTCCATTATATTTGATTTAAAAATAGTTAAAATTTATAGTTTTAGTTAAAATAAAATGATGATAAGGGCCAAAATAATTGAAAAGTAGAGTAAAAATGCAAAAAAAAAAAAACAACTCGAAAAAACGATTGAGTAGAGGGAAAATTAAATACGAGTAGCAATTTGTGCAAGAAAATAAAACTACTTTAGTTGCGTAAAGTATAAACATATTTCGTCCAAATAACTTTTATGACAAAAACATTTCTCAAAAATTTTCTTACTTTTTTGATAGAAAATCGTAGTAATATAGCGCGGATATATGAACGCTATTATTAACTGAAAAGACCTTACCCAGCAATTTATAACACAATTGCAAAATATCTGTGCAACTACAGCTATGTAACAAGGATATAAGGTTAAAATAAAAACTTAAAAAAATTTTTAAAAATGTCTTTTCCACAGCTGGTACTTTGAAATAATAGGTACATATGTATATGAAATAAAAAAAAGAGTTTCAAATCGTTTGGATTTTTGGAGAAAATGTATGTAATGTATGTACATTATATGTATTACGAGTACGAGTATATAATATATTATTCTTTAAACAATCAGAAAGTTGAGATTTTAAAAGCTTACCGACTTTTTAAAAAAATCGGAAATTTTGACGTGAGAATTTTCGATTGAAAATTAGTGTTTTTTCGATTTTAAGTCGAAAAAAAGTTTCCTCCTTAATTTTTTTTGTGTTTGGAACATAAGAAGATAAGTTTTCATCAAATTTCGTGAAAGAAAAAAATTTTGGTAATATTTGGAATAAAAAAAACAAAAAATTCTGTTATTTCAATATTTCATAAATATTTCGAGGTTATGTAAAAATATCTATATACAAAAGTTATATATCTTTTCATTACCTACAACATTGCCATATAAATTTGTACTATAGGACTCGTAGTTTTGCCGGAAATCGAGCTTATTCGTTTTTAACACGTAAAAAGTCAACCACGCCCCTCTCTTTCCTTTTCCCAAGCACAGATCGCCCGTAAATTATTTGTCTTTTAATGTTTGTTATTTTTTCGATGGGTTTAAACCTACTATGAATTTCTTTCTTTTTTATCATTTTTATACTAGTCTAATAAATAATTTTCTAAAAAATACTCAAATTCTAGAATTGTAAAAATTTTTGGTTAATAATCTACAAAAAAAAATTATTAAATTTTTTGTATTTTTGATTTGTATTCACATACATATATACATTTATTTATTGTTATTTTGTGTTCAAACATGTTCGTTCGCACGCTCAGCCACACACACATGTTGAGGTTATGAAGAAAACAGACTTCCTTCATGTCGCACACACCACAAGAAACCAAACCAGCAACACTTTTGTCCTTCAACATGCAGTTGCTGTTGTTATTGTTGTTGCTACACTCACAATGACTCTAATATATTGAATATTTGCACAACTGCAAACGCCGCCACACGCAACAATGCAGCACGACCGCGAAGTGGATACAAAAATGCATATATGTATATGTGTACATATGCATATACATATATATTTGTGTGTGCGTTTTCGTATGGCGCCCCATATGTGTGGCTGGTAAGGCACGCTCATTGCAAGCCGATAACACATTTGTTATTGCAATGCATATATGTACATATGTATGTATGTTTGTAATGCCGGCAATAAGCAACAACAAAAACAAGCAATAACCAACTGATCAGCCAAACAGTCAGCAATTCACTACCAATTGTTCACACACACACACACACACATGCAAATGCAATGCAATCGGCCATACACCATGCAACACAACACAACACAGCACTGTATAGCACAACAACAATAATCATTGCTATTGCTGTCTTACATATATACTTACATACATATATGTATGTTTGTATATGTTTCTGCATTTGTTTGGTTACTACTGGGCTTGCTTGTTGGCTGACAGCCGGACTGGTTGGCAGCAGTTGATTTCTTGGCTGCCCATACGTTTGCTTGGCCTGCCTGTCTGCCTGCGCCTGTCTACCCCTGCTGCGCTGCTGGATCTTCGCCATCGCTATTGGCATCGTCGTCGTCGGAGTTGTGTTCGTCGTCGTTGGCACTGGCGTTCGCCTACGGTTGGGTTGTTGTATGAAACGGCTGAGTTTGGTGTGTCATTCGGTTCGCTACCTCGCTCGTTGACGGATGTGAGTGCAAGAGAACGGAGCGGTGTTTATAGTAGGAAATCAAAAGTAATCACAAAACAAATTAACAATCGAAGAGAAGCAAAAAAATAAAAAAAAAAACAATTGTGCGTTCAAAAAAAAAAATTGTACGGAAGTGTCGAATAAAAAATCAAAAAGTCATAAAAATATTATCACACAATTTCCTCCGGCAAATCGACAGGCGTTGTTGTAAAACATTAAGCACCGCACATTACGTTAATATTATTGAAAATACATACATACATATGTAAATAAGCTACAAAACGGTTAATGTACAACTGTGCGCAGGTGTTGCAAGTGTGTTTTGTGTGGCAAATGTCATTGAAGGCTCAAAACCGCGTAAGCTTATGAGATATTAAATTTGAAAATATAAACAAAAAATAAGCAGAGTCAAGGCATATGAAAATATATGTAGCAGAAAGTGATTTTTTTGAAGAGATAAACATAAAGCAAATTTTTAAAGTAAAAATCAGAAGAAAATTATTTTTTAAGCGAAAAGAAGCGCAGAATTAATTTAATAAATACTAAAAGCGCTGTTTGAACTTGAAAAGCTTGGAAAAATAGCTAGTTCTAAATAACAAAAACAAAAACTTAGAAATCTTTGTTGAAAAAATACAAAAAAACAAAAACAATTGAGTTCCGTTAAAAAAGTTATTTTTAAAAATAAAAAAAATTAATTTGAAAAAACAAAAACCCATTTGAATTTTAAAAAGTTGGCAAATTTTTTAAAACAATAATTTATTAAAAAAAAAGTATAACCAAAAAAAATTAAAACCCAAAAATTAATTGAAAAAACACTAAAAACTAATAACACAGCGTAAAATTTAACTTGCAAACAGTACTTTACGAAAGTGTTGCAAACGAAAAATAAATTACATACAGTACTTCAAAAAAGTGTTAAACCAACTCAAATTCAAGTGTTAATGCACCCTCCGCAACCCCAACAACCGCAACAGTATTGCCCAACTAACACGCTAAACTGCCGCGGAAGCGTAGAAAAAGTCAATTAGTACAACAAACAACAAGCAATTTAGCTTAAACGGCATAACACCCGCTACCAACGTGCAAACGGCGTGTTTAAGCGCCGCGAAACGCGAAAAAACAGCTTGACGGCGGATTTAAGCAACGGAAAAAAATTATCATTATTGTTGTTATTGTTGTTGTGGTTAGGCAAAACGTACGCTAACCTCAGAAATAAATCGCAATATAAATGTCATAAGTGGATTTGTGAGTGATAAAAATTGAAAAAAAAATAAACACTTATAATACAACAAACACAATTAAACAGTTAATTGCAACAGAAATAAATTACAACTACAAATAAGAGTTGCAACGGTTAAAGAACGAATTCATTTACATACACAAGTAAATATTGAAAAACATAAAAATAAAATATATGGCCAATACAAAAACAGCAAGTGTAACGGCAACAGCGACAGCAAGTGCAACAGCTATTGGCGGCAGCGAGAATCAATTCTGTATGCAATTAAATGCTTCAGAATTAACGGCGATCATAATGAAAGGTAAGCGCAGATGCACAGTTACTTAATAGTTGAATTACGATTTATAAGAAAGCAATTAAAAAGTTATAAAAAAAAAAATACTATACAAATGTATGCTGCCAAACAGTTAAACGTTCAAGCCGCTCGAACCTTCAATATGCTCGAAGCTTGCATACAAGCGTGTTCCACATGCAAAACTTTAAACCTCTAAAAACAATCAGAGTTACAAAAATTGCCTTAAACAAAGCTTAACGACCGTTCTAAGTGGTTTAAAAATACTCATGAGGTCATGAAGTAAGTTGGTATAGATACTTCAAGCATTATTAGATCAGTTTCAGGTATAAAAAACTTGACAACGATCAAACGATCTTCAAAACATGTGAAGATCAAACGGTCCTATGAACTGAAACTGAAAACTAGATTTTGATAATTTTCAATTATTATGTTCACAGCAATTGTTTCAAGCATTTTTCGGAAGATATTTTGCACTATACATATTTTGCGCGACATCCTCATAATAATCTATCTTCAGAGAGAACTAAGTATAGTCTAATAATTGTGAAAACAATTTAGAACTATACATTTTTCGGCAGTGAAAATTAAATAGCTCTTTGTGTTTTTGGGCAGACAATTACGATTTACAATTTACGAATATTCGTTTAGTGATCCTTACAATACAGTATTGGATCATTGATGAAAATTAGAATAATCCAGTAACAAAATAATCATATTGACCGATCTGATATAAAAACTAGTTCGATGGAGGCAGTTTTCATAAGCTATTTTACACGATCCAGCATTTTGAAAAATGCTTTTAGTGATCTTTAGTGATATTGGATCATTGTACGAAACTAAATATAGTCTAGTATCAGAACAACCCAAGCCTACAAACTGACTAATATGAAAATTAGCTAGATTTATGCGTTTTTGGAAAGACAAGTACGATCTACAATTTACGAGAGATTTGTTAGCGATCCTCACAAAATTTGATCGTTGTAAGGCAGTACCGGAAAAACATATTACAAGAAGATTTAATTAAAGCATTCATAAATAGATTTGTAAATCAGTTTATATTGAGAACTAAATGGGTCTGGTCTGTCTTTGAAACGTTTTACATAAAACACATGCTATTCAGCAGAGTTTTGAACCAAAATTGTTTGCCACAGGAACAAATTGCTAGCAAGTTTCTAATCGAAAAAGGGCTGATTATATGCAGTTCTATGAATATGAATCACACAAATAGAACATGGATTTACTTAAAGGGGAATCCAAAGATTTTGGATTTGATAAAAATATACCTCCACTCTTGAAAACGTTTCAACAATTCAAAGAAATATATTATATATATAAATACATACATACAAACACTGCAAAGTGCGCTTGCACTCGTCGCGTTGGTTAACACTTTTAGCGGAAATACCACAATCGAGTTGGCAAATTTCACCTCCCGCTATCGACAGCAGCTCGACGCCGGACGATCGCACTTTGACCAAGCAAAACAGACGTAATAACACAAGCGCACACATACACAAGCACGTATTTTAGACTGGGATTATCGCTTATTGTCTGCAATACTGCTACACAGCTTAATTAGCGGGTTTTGTTGTTGTTTTCATTTGTTTTACTAGGAAATAACTAGGCGTGATCATCGTACAGATTGAATGCCAACAAATTTACTATTGCGACTATATTACGGCACTTGCTATTGCGTTGCTGCTAGAGTGTGTGAGAATATGTGTATGTATGTATGTATGTTAATTTCTGACAAATATTATGACATGATTTAATTGCGTACTTTTAACGCAAACTTGACACGCGTTGTCATATGTTTGTTGTTGTCGTGTAAAGCCTTGTTTTGCTTCGTTTTGGTTCTTACTATGGACTAGATTACGATTGTTATATCACACACACATACATATATGGTACATGAGTTACATTACTCTTGTTTATGTATGCTGGCTGCTGGCTTTGTTTTTACATAGGTGTTTAGTGCTTTCGTAAATATTATTACAAGTGCAGCATGTTAGTAACTATTAAACAGTTAATAAGTTATGCTAGCACACATCTACACACATGCATATGCATGTATGTATGTATGTACTATGCAATTGCGTGGGTGTAGTTGTATTAATGCGTTGCTCTTGAAATAAGTTAATACTAATTAACAGATGTCAAACAATTAGAATAGATCTTAAAATGTTTAACAAATAAAGCAAACTCTATTTTTAACATGAAATATATTTAAATACAAATATTTTGGCAACTATTTAGACCGAAATATGACGAAAATATATATTTTTTGCGTTTTGGTATTTAAAAAAATAAGTTACAAGTGCGCAAAATAAAAAATTTATGAACTAAAGCAAACAAAAACGATTATAAATGGCAGAAATTCAAATTTATTTACAAAACAAACAAAAATTATAAATAAAAAAAATAAAAATAATTTTAAAATATATTTACTTAAAACGAAAACTTTTGGAAAAAGATTAAACAAAAACATATATGTATAAATAATACTAATATTTACAAAAACAAAAAATAATAAATATTAAAAAAATGTATTAATAAACAAAATTAATAAATAATAAAAAAATATTTAAAGATATACTTGTTAGGGGTCAAAAGCAGATATAAAGAAGTTAAAAAAAAAACACAAAAACAAAAAAAAAGTTTTTTTTAATATATGTATATCCTTAAATAAGTAAAATAAATAACAGCAATAAAAAATTAATTAAAATAAAAACAAAAGTTCGAAAATATAATTTTAGGAGTTAGAAAAAAACAATATTAAAAAGAGATATAAAGAGAAAATTAATTAAAAAACATATGCTTTTATGAGAAATAAATAAAACAATGGATTTTTAAAGTCAGGAATAAATAAAAAAAGTAAAATATATTTAATTTTTTTATACTTTTATAAGTAAAAAAAATATATATATTTGAAAACTAATACCGAAAAAAATATATGAAGGTATTATTATTGAACAAAACATTTAAATTTTTTAGAATTGGAATAACAAAACAAAAATCAAACCACTTCTTTAAGAAAGCTATAAAATCCTGATAAACAAAAATTTTCTTAAAAGGTATTTTATTAACAAATATCAAAAAACAAAAAATAAGAAAATATAGATTGTTAAGAAAATAAAAAAAGGGAAAAGAATTTTAATATCTACTATGAATATGTATTAAATAATAATATAGGCAAAAAAGGTATATTATTTCGGATTAACAAAAAAAAACAGAACTTAAATAATTAAACACAAAAAAAAAAAAAAAAATGGAAATTTTAGTTCATTACTATATATTAATATTAATATATATTAATATTAAAAGAATTTACAACATGTATATCTTATTTAAGACAACAACAAAAAAAAAATTAAGAAATATATAGAAATTGTTAAAAAAAATAAAAAATCAAAACTTTCCAATATTAAAATATCTCATTGTCGCATTATATAAAAATTTTAAGTTTGCTATTGCTCACTCTCTTCTAATTTCGAATTTCATATTTTTTAAAAGGGGAAATAATTAGATTTATTTTAGGCTTTCACACTAAATAAATATCTATGATTAACCACGATCATTTAAATCATAGGTAGAAGCCTCAAAATACACTGTGTGAGTTTTTGAGAGTTTCAGCAAACTTTTCTATCAAGCAGCATCAGAAAAAACTCCCAGGCTAAGGAAAATAATACAATACTTATAACAATATTATAAAAAAAATTCGAAATTTAAAAGAGGTGGCATTCCACTTACTCACGCTAAGCAAAAGGTTAGCCAAATAATTGAACAACGAGATTACGCCGAAACCGCTACATAAATTATAATCACTAAGGATGCCAAACGATCGTAACAACTCAAACTCAATATCGTTTATACATATATGAGATATAATTACATAACCAAGTACACATACACTGAAATACAGTATGTATGTAAATATATGTTGTAGCCACCCCCCTCTAACGTTAGTAATAACAACTGTTGTAACAATTGTTTCAACACACATACAAGAAAAAACAAATGCACATAAAATCGCAAAAAATATACAAGCAAATACATACATAAATACATGCATATGTACATATGTATGTATGTATGTATTTGCATGAAAAGGTGGCCAACAGCAAATTAGCTGATTAAATACAAATAAAAGCAGGAAAAAATATAAATAAAACGAAATCTAACAAAATTTTTAGTTTGGCTAAGCCAATCAAAATTTTCGTAGGTTGTGGCGTTGGCACGGCACTTCGCCATAAATTGACCAATCAACGGGCAGAAAAAAAAACACAGGTGAACACGCAGCAAAATATGAAGGGAAAAAGGAGTCGAAAACAAAAGTGAGGTTAATTGAGTTAACGACTGAATTATATGTTAAAAATTAAAAATAAAAAATAGTAATAAATTCAATAAATTTTTAAATAATTAATTGAAAAAAATAATTATTCACAAAAAGCGTTAAAAAAGTTGAAAAGAAATATATAAATATGTAAACAGTCTATGACACAACTTGTTGCACAGCAAACGCATTAAGAAAGTCGCCTGCAAATTCGGTTAAAGGCCTTACAAAGGGGAATATTAAATTCTTATATATTTACACACATACATACAAAATATACACACGCACACACCCTTACTTCTGCCACATTAAAAATTAATATCAAATTACTCGCATAAAACTCTGCGACAGGTAAGTGTTGCCATTCCGCTGCACTGCGCTGGCTGCCGAAATTGCTTGGTGCGCCGTAAGCAACGTTGCTTGCTGTCTACCTGCATAAAGGCAATGCCTAACTGCACATGCTGACTGCCTGGTTGTCACCACCTGTTGGTGTTTTTTCGGTTGCCTGATTTATGACACATTTTTTTGCTCGCTTCAGTTGCTTTGTTGTTGTTGTTTTTTTCGTGCAGCAGTGTCAGCGTGCTAAATGTATAAAATTTTTAATGCATTGCTATCAAATCGAATTAAATTGGCGCATTGACTACACGAATTTCGGCTGTGGAGGTGAAACATT